GGGGATGAGGTTGGAAATCGTTTTGGGTGGGAGGATGACTTGGCAGCCCCGGCTTCCCGGTGCAGAGTCGTGGGCCAGTCTCCAGAGCTCGGGATGGGCTCTGCTCATCTGTATGCGGCCAGGCATCAGCGCTGAGCTCCAGATCCCATGGAAAAGCTTCCAGAACAGACCTTGGCAGTGATGAGGGGAAGAAAAATACCAAGTCTAACTGAAGCTGGCAGGAGCAGACCTAGGAGTAGCCTCAGCAAGTACTGCACCATTTGCTTTGGGGGGTTCCAGCCAGGACCACTTCTTTCCCAATGCCCCTATGCAGCGCCTCCCCCTCACCACTACCACAGGAACACTGGGAATCAAGGGGTGTCTGTCTTCTCCTGAGCCATGTCTCTGTGCAATACCTGTAAGGTTTTGGTTGTGCCACAGGATATTTCTGTGCAGCCTACATATATATCATAATGCCACAACATAAATCCATGGTACACCCACATTTTGAATACTACATGCCATTCTGGTCATCCCATCTCCAAAAAGACGTTAGAAATGGAAAAGGTATAGAAAAGGCAACAAAAATGAATAGGGATATGGAATAGCTTCCATATGAGGAGAGATTAAGACTTGGACTTTGCAGCTTGGAAAAAAGACAACTAAGAGGGGCTATGATAGAGATTTATAAAATCTTGACTGATGAGAAGAAAGTGAATAAGAAAGTGTAATATTATTCCTTCACATATCGCAAGAACCAGAGGTTACCCCAGGAGTGGGCAAACTTTTTGTCACATCTGGGCATAGAAATTGTTTGGCGCGCCATGAATGCTCACAAAATTGGGGGTTGGGATGCGGGAGGGATTGAGGGCTCTGGTTGGGGGTGAGGGCTCCGAGGTGTGAAATGAGGAGTTCAGGGTGTGGGAGAGGGCTGGAGGTGCGGGGGTTAAGGGCTCTGTCTGGGGATGAGGGGTTGGGGTGCAGGAAGGTGCTCTAGGCTGGAACCGAGGGGTTTGGAGGGTGGGAAGGGGGATCTGGGTTGGGGCAGGGGGTTGGGGCCCGGGTGGAGCCTCAGGGATGCAGGCTCTGTGCGGCGCTTACCTCAAGCGGCTTCCTTCTCCAGCTCCTACACGGAGGCACGGCCAGGTGGTTCTGCATGCTGCCCTGTCTGTAGGCACCACCCCACGGTCCGGCCAATGGGAGCTTCAGGGGCAGTGTTTGGGGCAGGGTCAGCGTGCAGAGTGGAGTCCCCTGGCTGCCCCTACACAAGCCGAAGGAGGCCATGTCGCTGCTTCCAGGAGCGGCTCCCGAACCTGCTCCCCGGCTGGAGCGCCAGAGCGGGGCAAGACCCAGAGCCTGCTCCCCAGTGGGAGCTCGAGGGCTGGATTGAAACGGCTGGCGGCCTGGATCTGGCCTGCAGGCCATAGTTTGCTCACCCCTGGGTTATCCAATGACATTAATAGGCAGCATATTTAAAACAAGCAGAAGCAAGCACTTCTTCACACAACGCACTGTCAACCTGTGGAACTCATTGCCAGGGGATGTTCCCAAAACCATAACAGAGTTAAAAAAGAACTACGTAGGTTCATGGAGGCTAGGTCCATCAATGGTTTTTAGCCAAGTCTGTCAACCCACTTCTGCGGGCTCTGTAGATGTAGAAATATTGCGGTGCCTATGAACTGTCTGCTACTGGAAACAAATGCGGCCCTTCTGAACTTCTTGGAAGCTTTCTCTTTTTTTATTAACATTTCCATGCTTGTGCTGCAAATATGAA